CCTTCTGTTTTTGTTCTCTAAACCTGGGTGAACCTAATAAATGTATAACTTGTTTTAATGTAACTGAACTTTGAACAACACACACAAAAGGGGAAACAAATGAATAAAAGGTTTACATAAAGTGGCTTCTGTAACAGATGAACATTATCCAACATCTGTTTTAGAACAGAAGAGTTTCAGTCCCCAAAGGGCCTCTCATGTGTAAAGTAGATATTTTCTATTTAAAACCTTCAGTCTCATAATTTTCTAAAGCATTAAGCTTAAACTCCAAAATAAAATGAATTGAATTTAAAAGTTTCTTATCATTGAACTTCATGTATAACATTAAAATGTTCATCCTTACCCTCCAAGGGCCAAAACAAACAAACTTTAACAAACAAAAAAAACTTCTTCTGATGGATTTCTTTCCTAGGTATGGGGACAGTCTGGGTGAAGCCCCTGGATCACATCAGAATAAACCTCAAAATAAATGTGTACCATGCTCTGAAAACCACCACCCTGACCACTGTCTCTAATTCTGTGTTCCTAAAAGCTTCTCACCACGGATCAGGGAATGATATTCTATGGTGGTTACTGGAGTTGGTAGGAGAGATCATCTCTCTCCAGTTTTAGCTTCTCTCCATTGGCTCCCTGTCAAGTCCAGCAATGAATATAAAAAACCCTACTTCTAATCTACAAAGCTCTCAACAACCTAGCTCCATCTTATATTCAAGATAGATCTTATTCATCCATATTTTCCTAACAGAGCACTTTTCTCTCAGACTGCAGGTTTACATGCAGTTCCTAGAGTTTCCAGAAGCAGAATGGGAGGAAGATCTTTCAGTTTTCAGGCTCCTCTCTTGTGGAACCAACTTCCAGTTTCTGTCCATGAGGCTGACACATTGTCCAGTTTCAAGACTTTCCTTTTTAATAAATCCTATAGTTAGGGTTGGCTTGTCATGCTGTCATAGGCTTAGATTACTAGAAGACAAATTGACCTAATTTCCTTAAATTAATTGTTAAAATTGAATATTTTTCATTTGATACTATTTCTATCTTAACATGTGATTCTCGACCTGCCATTGTGTATCTGTTCCTCTCAAACTCAGACAGTCGAAGCAGACGGCCGCTTGTCCTGAGCCTGGTTCTGATAAAGGTTTCTTCCTCATGAGGAAGTTTTTCTTTCCACTGTCGCCTTCATGCTCAAGATGAGAGTTCTGTGATGGAGTTATACCCAAAGCAGTCTGCTCCTCAGATAAATGAATTGGGATGAAAGTGGAAAAGTCTGCGAACCACATGGATATATGATTGCACTAGTTCATTTAATTCTGGTTTGGTAAACTGAGCACTAACAACAGCAATGTGTAAATATAAAATCAACAGAAATGATGCAATATCAGACAGGAAAATTATGTTTCTTAAGCTGCAGCTCACCTCCTCCGTAGATTTGACAAAGGTAGGGAAACCGCCACACGTTTCCAAGTCCCACTGCAAAGCCAATGCATGTCAGAAGGTACTGAACCTTGTTGTCCCATTTGGGTCTCTCCTCCACACCAGAGTCTTTAGTTTTCCCCATCCTCAATTTACAAAAGACTCAGTTTATGCCTAATCTGAGCGCTCCTCACAATCCTGCACTCACTCAGATTGTTTTTACGGAATCAAGTAGTTTAAACTAATAATACTATTTTGAACAAAGTCCAGATTTTACCACTCTGGACATGTCCTCGCGGTGAGCGCTTGAGTAAATTCTCTCTCTGGTGGTCAAAGTGATGCCTTGTGGTCGTCTTTCGTCTTCTTGATGCCTATTGACAGGGCTGCAGCTTTGAGAGTCAGAAGCTCAGATTTTTATCAGTTTGTACGATGAAATGAAGAAAATCAGGTCACCAAATGAGATTGAGAGCACCTGACATAAAGATTTTGTGGTTAACCCTCCCTCTTTTTGTAATGGGCGTGATGCTGCTAACCCACAGGAAGCTGAGCTCACACACAGAAGCAGCTGCTTCACACCCAAACGTACACATCCAGCAGTTTGTAGGGTGAAATACAAATTAAGGCAGAAATATATTTGACAAGATAAGTTGCCTGCTTTTTATGCCTTTTTCAAATACCTTCAGGATTTTAGCTTCTTTATTGAAAACATGTGAAGGTTAGATGCATTTACAAATTGTATGCAAAAATAATTATGTGTAACATGTGGGGATGCACGATATTGGATTTTTGGCCGATATCCAATATGCCGATATGTTAAAACTTATTTGGCTGATAACCAATACCAATACCGATATATACAGTATATATTTTCCTAGACCTGACTACATAGTTTTCTCTGCTGTGGAATTAAAATACTTAATTATTCTACATGGTCTTTGTCAATTTGGCCTGCTACCAAATGCAGATGCTAAAAAAGGGGCTGAAAATGATGTAACACTTCATCTTGGATTATGTATAAAGTCAAATTTATTCATGACATTTACTCTAACACAATGACGACACTCGAACAGTGTAAATTTGTAAACTTTCACATATGTAAACTCAACGGTGCGCGTGATGTCATAACGTGCTGCAGGCATATTTGTCACACAAAAACATATTGTATAACAACGCCTTTTAAATCGCTGAGTCACTTTGATGGAATGTCCGATATTGAACTTTATCGCTGATATCGGCCGATACTGATACCATGCCGATAATATTGTACATCCCTAGTAGCATGCATTTTTTTATATTAGCAAACTGATGTACTGCTTGGTGTATGGCCTAGCTTTAATCAGTAGGTAAAAAGAGTGTGATCATCTTTTATGACGTGTTGTAGCTAAACTGATTTCTTCTCTTTTTTTCTATAATTTGCCAAACAATACCTGGAACATACAGTCATATAGAAAAACAGAGCCCCCTCCTCTTTCAGTTTCAGGGGGTTTCAAACGTGAATATTCTAAAAATGATCTGGTCTTTGCCAAGTTCTAATGTATCACATCTAAATTTAAATGTACAAAAACACACAATAGATTCCATTAAAACTGCAGTATATTTGATATACAAGAACAAAGCCAAAACAGTGAAGATGTGTGCTATAAACTTTGATTAAGCTTAAGTTTCTGTCATGAATTTAATTTGTCATATTTTTAATAAATAATAATAATATTTAAATAAAATATGTTGCTTAATTGAGAAATGTGCTACAACTTTGTTTTCCCAAACTCTGAAAAATAAGTGACTAAGATAATCCGTCCCTCTTTAGAGCTCTGCAGCTCAGACATACTTCACACTAGAAACATCGATTAAGGGTTAAACGAGTGACAGAAAGTTGGACTTCAATTGAATGAACTGGCATTGTGATATCTTTAATGGATTTTATACAATTACAATTTAGGCTTTGTAACTTTTGGAAAACGTTACATAGAGATGATCCTTAACTTTAAAATTGTTTGTGTTACGTGAAATGAATACCCAGATGAAAGGACTGAAGAATGCACAACTTCAAGACAGAATGGAAAGTTTAGTGAATTTATTTACAGTGAGAATAAATGGCACAAGTAATGTCAGGAACCCTGAGGAGAAGGAAGAAGGGTCAGATATGAAGGCTTTCAGGAATGGATTACTGTACTTTCTGCCGTACACGTCGAACTGCCATATAGGTCGCATCAGTCCAAATATGTCTAATAAGGTGGAAAAAAAAACAAATATGTTGCTTCGCCGTATACGTCGCATCTATTATGCGTCACCGCAGACAACCAGGAAACGTGGTCCAGTGTTGTGCCCGAAATCAATTGATTGCGTCAACTGGCGTCCTCGGAAGCGTGCACGTGAGGACTTTAACAAGAATTTAACAATATTAACACTTAAAAACAATTATTTGTTTGCTCGACATTGTAGCAAACGTATGTCTCAGTTGAACTTTTCCTTAATAAATGCACTTTAATAGTCAAATCAGCTGCATTTTGCCTGGGCGGTGCAGCTGATTTGATGTTTGCTCCAGGAGTTCCGGAGTGAGACGAAAGTGGCTCTGTATGGCAAGCCAAGTGTCTCAATAATAGCAACTTTTACCTATTAATGAGACACTTGGCTTGCCATATATGTCGAGGGCCCTCTAGTGGCTGAAAATGGTAGTGTTCAATATTTTCCATGTCAGAATGAATGAAATCGTCAGATCTCAGCCAAAAATTGAATTATAAATATGGTGGGGTGGGGGGAAGAGATAAATAAGTTGCTTTGCTGTATAAGTCACAGGGCATGCTAATTTATGCAAAAGAGTGTGACTTATACAGAGAAAAGTACAGTAATCAGATTGTCTCTGGTTCTTACAAGTCAAATATTGGTTGCTTGAGGAGGACTGGTTCCAATAATCTTGTGCAAACAAGGAGTCGTCCAGAGTGGATTGCAGTCTGTGTGCATGTGGTTGGAAGGTGCGTTAGACAGCTGAGGAGGCCACTTGAAGAGTTCCAGGGATTCACAGAGGAGAACGAGGAAGACAGCTGAGGAGGCCACAAGGAGGTTTCCAGAGTAGTGATGGCAGTATGAAACAAAAGCTTCAAAACGTGCTTCGAACCCTGCAGTAAAATTACATCGGACCACTGCTTCGGAGCCTGTTTTGGTGCGGAAAAAGTCACGTGACGTCTGAAACACAAACTGTTTCGTTGTCAGAATGAATCGCTTGACTGGTTCGCGGTCCAAACAGCTGATTCCCTGGCACCGCCTCGTCTCGATTCTGACAGGTGACAGGTTGAGACAGTTTTGAATTGAGAGCTCAACACTATGAAACAGCTCTAAAATGTTTGCAATGTGTTGGAGAGTAGGTGTGTTTCTGCTGTTAGTTTGAATAGAGTAATTATAGAGGCAGCCAGGAAAAGAGGTTGTTCTAACATGTGGGAACACTTCATTCTGCTCATGATGAGGTGGTTTTGGTATTTAAATGTCAAAAAAGTTATAGTAATGTTCAGCAGGGAAGATATTATCTAATCCATTTAACCCATGTATTTAATATAATTACAGTAAAATGATGTATGTGATTTTAATCATATATCAGTATGGGCTCAAATTATTATTATTTTATTTACATTAGTGTATTTGTGCAGGTGCAGTGTTTGGTGTGTTCAACTGAACTGAAGCATCACGATACCTCCTCTGATTAGACACTTCAGCTCCAAACATGGAGATGATGGAGACGTTATTTCATTGTTATTTTAAGAATGATAAAGACTCGGACTCTGCCACAGTTACACAAGCACAATACCATTGCAACATTTTTATTAAATCCCTTCAATGCACATTTATCAACCTTTATTCAAAAACATGTAAGCATAAATAAATTTTCAAACCAGACAACATAGAAAGTTGATGAATTTAAAAAATCTGTTTTTTTACCACAGTAAAGTAGTTTCTTTAACACTAGTCACTCAAGTTCATCAGTGTGTGCCACTAAAAGTATAACGCCTAATTTGACAGCAGCATTGCAAAATGCCACAAGAGGTCACTGTAACTGAAGCTTCAACAAATGAACCTATTTTTGAAACAATTGGCCCAACTGGTTCAATGCTTCATAAAAGCTTCATTTGCTCATCACTATTCCAGAGTTTCACAGAGGAGTCCAGGAACAGGTAAGTCCCAGGAGGTACACTGGAAATATTGAATGATACAGGTAGGTGATTCTCAAGTCTATAGGATACTCAATGGCTAGAAGCACGACTACCATTGGCAGGTAATGCTCCAGCGATGAGAAGAAGTCATCTGTAGTTTTTTATATGCTTGGAGCCTCATCAAGGAGATTGTTCTCAGGTGTGGTAGTTTGGCTCCATCTAGTGATGTCAGGACAGAAATGAAGCAGGAACTCCCACATTTTGAACTTTCTAATTGCTTAATTTTTTTTCCTCCAAACTTTACCCTTTTTTACCATCAATATATTAAAATTTAGACTTTTTACTGTTTAATTTTTAAACTATGTGCTGTAAAGCACACACGTAATTTATTATGAACCCGTGTCACTCTGTGCACCTCAGATGACTCTGCAGTGGTCGGGTGTATCAGAGATGGACAAGAAGCTGAGTACAGGGAACTGGTGGACCACTTTGTGGCATGGTGTGGAAACAATCATCTCATCTTGAATGTGAACAAAACAATGGAGATGATTGTAGATTTCAGGAGAAACAGGAACTGGTCCAACCCTATTTCCATCATGGGAGAAGAAGTGGAGGTGGTGGAGAAGTATAAATACATTGGAGTTCACCTGGACAACATTCTGGACTGGAAATGCAACAGTGAAGCGTCTACAAGAAGGGACAGAGCAGACTGTACTTCCTGAGGAAGCTGAAGTCCATCAGTGTTTGCAGCAAGATGCTGCATATCTTCTATAAGTCTGTTGTAGAGAGCGCTATCTCTTCTGCCATCCTCTGCTGGGGGAGCAGCACCAGAGCAAGTGACTTAAAAAAGATCAACAAGCTCATAAAGAAGGCTGGCTCAGTTCTGGGGACTCCTCTAGAACCTTCGGAGATGATTGTTCAAAGGAGGATTCTTCATAAAATGAAGAACGTTATAGACAACCCTCAGCATCCTCTTCATCAGACTGTCATACAACAAAGTGTCTACAGTCAGAGGCTTCTTCAGATCTGCTGTAGGACAGACCGCTACAAGAGATCCTTCCTGCCCACAGCATCAACATCTAGAACAACTCTTTAATGAAACCAGGACGAAGAGTTACAACAATATTTAATTTCCCTCTGGGATTAATGAAGTATTTTTGAATTGAATTTAATTGAGTTTGTGTCTATAACAAAGACGTGCCAGAAATCAGTTTTTGTTGCTCATGAGAAAACTTTAAATCATGTTTTCAGGAAATCGTGTTCTTTGTTATATTTAGTCTGTTAACTTAAAAGACACAATAATGACTGAGTTTTTTTTATTCAGCAGACGAGAAGAGCACCAGTGACATGAGCCTGAAGGGTGCAGAACAAAACAACAATGACCTGAAGCCCTTGGACAAACCTGCTATTTCCATTCAAACTTATTTATTCTCGTCTTGTAAATGATCAGAAACTGGAGGGGTTGAAAACTGTTCAATCTAAGGCTCAGCACCATCCCGGTGCCTTGAAGCCCAAACTAAAAGTTTGTCTCGTCATCAATGAGGAGTACACAACTTTCTTTGATTTTAACTCTGTATTTCTAGTTGTATGTGATTTTGACCATGTTCAGTGAGTGAACTCTCCACTGGTTTGACTAAAGGTGAAAAACATCTGGTCCTCAGAGGCCGGTGAAGCCACCAGCACCTACGTGCCATTTCTGATTTTTTCCATTGATTTCTCCTGAGTTTTTTTAGTCCTCCAGGGTTTTTGTTTATGAGTATTTTAGCTGCCATGTCAGCCTTTTATCCTTGCTTTTGTTAATAGATTTTATTTTTATTTTACCTTTGAGTTCTCTGAGTTTTGGTTTGCGCATCTGGGTTCTGATTTTCTGCTAAACATGATAGAATGCACAGACCTCAAAGAACCCAGCAGACCAATAACTCTGCTCGAGTTTTGTGCCCAAAAAGTGGTTAAAACTGCACTAAAAGAAAATGAGGCGAGGGAGAGAAGATCAATGTTTTGTGGGACTCACCTGGCTTTCAGGTCTGCTTCCTCCCGGCAGGTCAGGGTTCCCTTCGGATTTTTCTGTTTTTCCTGCACCCCACTCATCTCTGGTGACTCTCTTCTATGAACTTCAGTGCACCACCCAAGCTTCGCTGCTCTTCTGCTCACCGACCACTACCAGTGCTTGGCCATTCTTCAGCGCACACTGTTTGAACACCTGAATCAGCCACATCCTACCCAGTGTCCCCGACTTCTCTGACACCAATACTGCATCAGATAAAAGTTTGGCAGATAACTTTACGCTTAATGACCGCACTCCATAGGTCACCAGGCATTAGCATGAAGAGAATTATCTACAGCCAGATTGAAAAGACTGACCTTCTGATCCGAAGTACTCCAGATACCCGAGTACCAGGAGATCCTCTTGGATGTACAGAGTTTCAAGCAGAGCTGGCTATGTCCTCCGAGCAGTCTACAGGTCCACTCCCTGAGACTCTGTCCCCAGTGTCTGCTGAACCTCCTGCTTCTCCAGATTTTCCCAGGCAGCCAAAATAAGTTGACCCTACAGATTTCCATTTTGCAGCCGCAGAAGCAGCCAAACCTCAACCTCTTTGAGTCCCAGTTCCCCAAGCTGACAGCAGCAGCAGCTCCTCCAATCACCTCAGCTTCAGTTGGACAAAGACAATCCGGGTCACATCACCACTGCCACTGCAAGAGGGTTGAGCTGTCACATCAGCTCCTGTGGTCTCAGAGCCATCAGCTCCTGTGGCCCCCCAGCCATCAGTTCCTGTGGTCCCCCAGCCATCTTCTCCTTTGGTCCCCCTGCCATCAGTTCATGTAGTCCCCCAGACATCAGTTCCTGTGGTCTCCCAGCCATTTTCTCCTTTGGTCCCCCAGCCATCAGTTCCTGTAGTCCCCCAGCTATCTTCTCCTGTAGTCCCCCAGCCATCTTCTCCTTTGGTCCCCCAGCCATCAGTTCCTGTGGTCCCCTAGACATCAGTTCATGTGGTCTCCCAGCCATTTTCTCCTTTGGTCCCCCAGCCATCAGTTCCTGTAGTCCCCCAGCTATCTTCTCCTGTGGTCCCCCAGCCATCAGTTCCTGTGGTCCCAGAGCCATCAGCTCCTGTGGTCCCAGAGCCATCAGCTCCTGTGGTCTCAGAGCCATCAGCTCCTGTGGCCCCCCAGCCATCAGTTCCTGTGGTCCCCCAGCCATCAGTTCCTGTGGTCCCAGAGCCATCAGCTCCTGTGGTCCTCCAGCTGTCAGCTAGCTCCTATGTATGGAACACCAAAATGCTCAAAATTAAATAAATAAATAAAACATTATAAGAAAAATTTTCATCTGTATTCTTTTATTTCATAATTGTTTTTTTTATGATGGCTTATTTACTTCATAATGCCACATTTCAGTAGAATGACTTCAGCTGTGTTTTATACTTTTGGGCTCTTGTTTGTAATGGCTGCAGACCCCTTGTCTTTGGGGACTAACTCTTTAGAAATGGTGATGTAAACTTAAAACTTTGCCTAAAATAAATGAATGCACTAAAATAACGTGTAACTGTGACATTAAATAAAACAAGAATCGACAGAAGTTCCTACCATATTTTAGGCTGCTTATTTATTTATTTATTGTTTAAAACAAAAATTCTACTTCTCTGGGCGATTATGCAAACGAGTTGATGACGTCACGCCGCTACAGCCAATAGCGGCGGTCCTTACTGAGGAGTCAGCAGAGCGGAGGGCAGCGCGCGCCGTTCAGAGCGCGAGTTTGCTAACAGCGTTGTTGACGCTTTGATCACGTCTCAGGAGAGGAGGAAAAAGCGACTTTTAGCCGTCATTATGTCTGTGAGTGACATGTCCGCAGTATTAAACATCCTCCGCGCCCTGTACGGACACGTCCAGACTCTGGAGGAGTTCGTCAGCAGCCTGGACTTCAGAGAGGGCAGGAGGGTAGTTCTGGTCGAGGAGTCCGACACGAACCTCCTCAGATCCTTCGTCACATGTATTTTTGTGTGCTTTGATAAGAAGCTGCAGCAGGTTCCGAGCTGCAACCAGGTACAGGCCACAACATACTTCTAAACTATGTGACAACAATAAACAGGTGTGAAAAGTCATACAGATTTATTTATTTAGTTTACAAATAGGATGGATAAAAATAGAAAAGTAACAAAAACAGCTAGATTCTATGGCGAATGTAGAAAACTAAAAACAGGAACATGTCTGCATTGGACCCTGCCTGGAGTCCAACAGATTCTTAAAGACACTTAGAGAGGTCAA